TAGCTAAAAGTTGGGAGTTCTGTTACTCTTCTATAGAGCTGAATCAGATCTTTTTAATTTTTGAAGTTGGGAACTATACTCCAGTTGAACCAGCAGGGGTCACTGTTGAGCAAGTACTTTGTTTCTTTGTTAAACCTACCTGCCATTACATTTCTCACTATATAATTTATAAAAAAGCAATTACAGTTTTATACAAAGCAACTATAAATGCTAATGTATGACAAAACACATCACTTAGTGTTTAAAAACCCGAATATTTAAGAATGTTCTATCCCTAGATAAATGCTATGCAGTTTCTATCTGTTTGTTCAGGGGATGGTGTTCTCTCATGAAACAATTAATAGAGAACAATCTAGTTGCTCTCTTGTTCTTCCCATGACTACATCCTTGTAACTGTTTGTGAATAGATTATAAAAAATACACAATGATATATTCCTGTGTTAATATGAAACCAGATTACCTAGGAATGTCATGTGTTTGAACAGTCACTTCTTATACAACAATTATATCTAAAATCTTTTCACAAATTTGTTGTAATTCATTATATCTTAGATCTAATTGGTTTTGACAGCTTTTATATTTTGGATAAGAAAACCAAAGTTTGGATTCAGCTGAAACAGTAAAATACCTAAAACGTATATTGAAATGTTTATTTTACCAGCAATACCATGAACTGGAGCAGGAGCCATATGGGTTTCCTAGAAAACATTTAAAATTATTGTGTCTACCTCTAGGAGTATTTTCTAACTTCCATTGTTATGTCACTTCAAATAATGAAATATTCTGATTATTTTATAGAACTGTAATTCTCTTATTCTCTTTTTACTTTTTTTTTTTTTTTTGAGTAGGCCCTGCACCCAGAATGGAGCCCAACATAGGACTTGATCTTATGACCCTGAGATCAAGACCTGAGCTGAAATCCCAAGTCAGATATTTAACCAGCTGAGCCACCCAGGCACCCCTAGATTAAATCCTGAGATTTGCAGTCTGCTTCATCTGGTCCATTGGTTCTCAAACTTCAGGAAGCATTGGTGTCACCTGAAGGACTTCTTAAACTACAGATTGCCCTTCTTTCTTTCCACCTCCTCACCCCATTTTTGATATTAATGGGTCTGGGGTACAGCCCAAGAATTTGCACTTCTGGTAGAGTCCCACTTGATGCTGATGCTGCTGGTCAGATGACCACAGGTTTTGAACCATGGATCTTTTTCTTTCTTGGAACGTTGGAGTAGACTGTATATGTCCACAAAGGAGAGGAGGAATATGTAAATCTGGACAGATGTCCTATAAGCCTGGTGTTTGCCAGGTCCTCTGAGGACACTGTTTTTCCCCTCACTTACTTTCATGCTTCCACAGATACAACACCACTTGTCTTTTTTTTTTCTTAGTTCTTTTTTTTTTTTTTTAAAGATTGATTCATTTGAGAGAGTGAGAGTGTGTGTGCATATGCACAGTGAGGGAGGGGCAGACAAGCTAACCCCACAGGGACCCCGTTCTGGGTTTGATCCCTAGGACCTGGGAATCACGACCTGAGCTGAAACCATTCAGTTTATATAGACTGATGCAAGAAAAGTTAGTTGTTGGATGTGATTTTTGTTCCTTTTTATATCTAGAGTTTGGAAGTCATGTGAATTACATATGGCGGGTTTATATTTTTTAACAGTTTAATTATTATGTATATTCAAGTGAGCAAAGTGCCCTATGAGGCGAGATGTGTAGCATTTAATAAATATGCTTTGAGTATACAAGATAAAGAGCGTAGCATTTCTGGGGCACCTGGGTGCCTCAGTGGGTTAAGCCTCTGCCTTCGGCTCAGGTCATGATCTCAGGGTCTTGGGATGGAGTCCCGCATCAGGGTCTCTGCTCTGTGGGGAGCTTGCTTCCCTTTCTCTCTCTCTGCCTGCCTCTCTGCCTACTTGTGATCTCTGTCACTCTGTCAAATAAATAAATAAAAGCTTTAAAAAAAAAAAGAGCTTAGCATTTCTAATATATAAATGATTGTCCTTTTGTGAAATTGAGTTGGGCAGAGTCTAGTAGATTGGGTGTTGAGTGAGTCTATTTTGTACTTAAAAATTTTTTTCCCAAAGATCTTAAGCTTAGGATACATGTTGTGTGCTATCTAACTCTGAAAAGTCTCCCAGGTCTCTTTTTGATACTTTAGTTTTCTTTGTAAGACATTGTTATTTATGTCATCAACCTTTGATTATTCAGCTTTTTTTTTTTTTTTAAAGATTTATTTATTTATTTATTTGACAGATAGAGATCACAAGTAGGCAGAGAGGCAGGCAGAGAGAGAGAGAAGGAAGCAGGCTCCCTGCTGAGCAGAGAGCCCGACGTGGGGCTCGATTCCAGGACCCCGGGATCATGACCTGAGCCGAAGGCAGAGGCTTTAACCCACTGAGCC